TGTATACTTTTAAAAATTAGTTTTAAAAAATTAAATAAAAAATAAAAAGTGATAAGCTATTGTGTGTGAGGATTAAGTAGGACAACAAAAACTATTTTATGAGTGGAGTCCTTAGTGCTCTCTGAGCTTGGTTGTTTGCTTGCAGACGTTTCATTACCCGACTAGGTAACATCATCAGTATTTTAGAAGTGTTTGTCACAGGAAGTTAGCAGGCCTAAGCAGCACTGTTTGATTGATGGGAGTAGAAAGATCATGCTATATGAAAAAGGACTGCATATTTGACATGCACAAATCTATCCAAGAAGCACTATGTTTTATTTTTTGCTTTATAGAGGTCCTACATACCTTAGTCATCAGTGATACTCAAATATCCCATTATAATATGGGTCAGAATTTCCACTTCAGCGTGCGTAAAAGCACTGGGAGAATCAAATCCACCTTTCTCTCCTGTGAGTACAGAAGGGTGATGAAAGGGCATTTGTAGCGTGGTCTTGGATAGTGTTGGCAGGCAGCTGGCGATTAAAGGGATGGCACTAGGGTACAGAGGAATTGATGATGTCTGTGGGAGAGACGAAGGGGTGAGAGAGAATGAGGGAGGAAAGAGCGAAGGAGGGGGAGGGTAAATAGCTGCTGTAAAGATTGGGCAGAACGAAAGAAATGGGGGCGGGAGGAACCGGAATGGAACGGGAACTACTTGCATAGTATCTGAGCCCTGACTACAGAGAGAGGGATGCAGGAAAAATTAACCGGGAGCTGAGGGACGTTTTAGCCTGAAGGAAACACCGCCGAGTGGGGAGGGGGGTCCTGCCTCGTGGGCAATCAACATCATGGAGCGGAAGGGGGCTAGCTCTGCTTACCGCGGTAGGCGGGGCCAGATTTAATAGTGGGGGAGCAATTGTATTCGAGGAGGGGGCACGTTTCAGGAGTGGGGAAGGGGGGAAACAAGCGCTTTTACCTGTGGGAGGAGGGGCAGGCGCGGGTCTTTCGCCCTCCAGCTTCGGTGCGCTGCGTGTCAATCCTTATCCAGGGGAGGGGGCGCCCAGCAGGGGGTGAGGAGTGCCTCTTCACGGCCGGTCACGGAGACATACGCCCCCGCCACTCTTCCACCCACCCTCGACGGTGACTTCTCCAGCTACCGCTTTCGCCGCCGCCTGAAGAAAAGTAAACCCGCCGCGCGGACGCGCGTTCCCGACTGGCCCAATTAAGCCAAGAGTTGGGCTGGAGCTGGGGGAAGGGAAGGACGAGGCGGCGGCGCGCCTGAGCACGCGGGCTGGGCGGAATGACGGCGCGAGGAAAAGTAGCTGAGGCGCCGGGAGCGAGTGCGCGCGGCCGCGAGGAAACGAGGCGGCCGGGAGGGCGGAGGCAAAAGCTCGAGTTTAAAGGGAAAGTGAGGCTGAGGTAAGGCAGGAGGGAAGAGATCGGTTTGGGGCGAAGTGGGCAGCGCAGGAAAGGGGAGATGTTCCGTGGGTGAAACTGAGGTGAAAAAGGAGAGCTGTGGCAGAGTGTGGGGGAAGGGGGATACCTGGGTGCTTGCTTGAAGGAAAGGCTGATTTCCGCAGGCTCTATAGGCTGCTTTGGGCTAACAGCCGAGAGGAGACCCAAGTTTAGGAGTGAGAGAATAATAGGGCTAGTTCTTGATCGTGTGAGGGGAGAAGTTCACTTAGCCCACGCGAAGAGGGCAGAAATGCGTGACCCCCTGTCCCTTTCTCTCTGGGGGGCATGGAGGGAGAATTGGGCCTTATGGGCTGACCCACCAGAGCTACCACCTGCGAATTTTCTCCTGCCCTAAGTAAGTGAAAGAGGTGCGCCAAAAATTCAGAGCTCAATACAATAAAAAGAATGGAGAGCCCGGGGAGGATTCCTCCAAAGTAGCAAAACTTGCATATTATATTTTGGTCTTGTCCCAGGGCCACAGCATAAGCATGTTCTCCACAACTATTTTTATATGATGTATCTCCATGATGTGGCTGTTGTTTCACCCCCAGCTCACAGCTGAGATAGCTTGAAATCATCTTTAGTTGTTCAGTCTTAAAAAATGTTTTCCATTTCTCCCGATAATATGTTTCACTATAGATGTGATTTAGCAGGTGTCGTCAGTGGTGTGATTGGTGACATGGCCAGGGGATCTGTCAAGGCCTATCAGCCACTTGAGGCTTCTCTCCCTTCAGGTCACTGGGATCTTTCCTCCATGACAGTTTTGTCTTGGTCTGTCAGAGAGATGGGCATCTGGCTTCCACGTAGATGACTACCATGTATTGCCTGATCAGAGCTTTCTAAAAGCTTGCCAAGTCTTAACAGGGTCCCTCTATGGATGAGTTTAGAGTTCTTTTTTTAAAAAAAGGGTGGACTTGTTTTTTAAGAGTTAGGGTTGTTTTTTTAAATTAAAGTGAAAAAGAGAGTTGGGTTTGGCCAATAAAATGTTCCTGGTTCTGCCACCAAAAAGCATATTATAGACTTTCTACTGCTTCTGCCAATGTGGTCATACTTATTACTGTGGTAGATCTGCGCCATTTTGCCATGGGCTACTTCTGGCCGTGGCTACTCACTGCCAATTCTTCAACTCTGTTGCTGGATGCAGATGTGGAGGAAAGGTGTTGAATAAAGTGGGAGGAAGTTTCCCAATTCTCCTCCCTCCCACTTAATCATACGACCCTCCTTTGATCCAGCAACCTGTTAGTTTAGTATGCTTTCAAGAAAGTGCTAAACCTCGGTTCAGAAATAGGCTGACTTATAAGTCATAGATGCAAAGCAGCTCATCATCTACAATTTGTTAGACAACTTGAGAGGTGACTAAACCTGCTCTTCAAAGCACTAGGGTACACTCATCTAGCTCTGTCCCATCACATATGAAGGTAAGTAATTGGGGTTGCTTTTCCTGGAGGCAGGAGTTGCTTGCTGGTAGAGAAAAGGGAGCCAGGTGAATCTACCAATCATTTTCTTTAACTTTTCCTGCATTAAAATTGTAAGGACAGCATTACTCAGTTGCCTTATTTGTTAGGAAGAATGCAGTTTATCACTGAGATAGCAAATGTTACTGCTGATATACTTTTCTACAGGCCCAGGGGTCATTGGATTATATTATAGTGCAACCATCTTGCTATGTCCTTTGAGGTAAATGAGCTAATGAGCTTTAATATCTAAAGATGGAGTAAAGTCTGGAATCTAAAGTGACCTAATTTGTACCACTGTCAGTTGGGGAGTTCAGGCAGGCAAAGGTTGCTTTTCATGTTAAAAGCAGCCATCTCATCTGCTAGCTCACTGGCAGATTCTCACTTCTTGTTATAGTGTGCAGGAAAAGGTTATTCCTCACTAGTGATTTATATGTTACTCAAACATCATTGTAGAGATATAAAGCCTGTATTCATTACTGATATATTGGTGATGGTTGGATGATGTTTTAAGATGCTATAACTCACAATGAAGAAATAGAAATAGCAGCTCCAATTTTCCCTATTCTGTAACCCAAAGAAAAGGGATAATCAGACAGAACATTCCAAAGGAAAAAAAAAAGACTAATTAATAGAAGCATTGTCCCTTATAATTGTCACTTGTGGAGTACTTCCTGCTGTGCTGGTCTGAAGTAAGGTGTGAATAGCCAAAAGGAGGCAATGCTGTACTATATATTTTTTTCTGAAGTGGTTTCCTGGGTCTGATTCTTCCACTCACAAGGTAGGCACAGGAAAATTAGAGAATGAAACCTCCGCAGAATTACTTGTCCCAGTTTTGGTTTGTGAATTGATTGTCAAGTAGGAAGAAGAGCATACAAGACTGTTTTGTTATAGGTATGTAGGTATAGCAGCCAGTGGCAACTTTTCCAAACATGGCAGTTTTAGACATACAGTTACGATAATCACTCTATATTATTGGTCAAAACAATAACACAGTTTGTTTATTCATACTTGTACAGACAATTACTACAACATACTAACCTGTGTAACAAGTTATTGACCACATGTCTGGGATCATTCTTCATGTTAAGTCATAAACAAAACACATTATTTCTTATCATGATGTATAAACGCAGGTGTATTCACCTCACTTTATCATCTGTCTGGTTCTTGTTTTTCCAATAAGTTGTTCTGGAGTTAAAATAATATATTAAATATTCAAAATTATTATGAGTAAACATTGTACTATATATAGTACAATATATAAAAATATAGTATATCACTGAATAGTAATTATGTGTTTTCTTGTCTTCATTTTGGGCCTCTAAAGTCATGACTCCATTCTTTATAATATGTTTATAGATTTTATTTTTTAATGAGATGGGTGGTGACAAATTTGATATATAAACAAATAAAATAAACCCTATTGTGAGATAGGGTGAAGGGAGATTGGGTGTGCTATTAAACAGTTGAAATGATAAGTGTTTTGTTTGTGAGATAATAGAGATAACACAGTTTTAATTTTCTATCTTGGGGGGAATGTGAATGCAGCAAGGACAAAATTTTATACTACAGTGTGCACTCATATGGCAAGTATGTGTTAATTGACCCCTTTCACAGTTCTGAAGGCATAACTGATTTAGCATATTGCATAGTTTTTCATATTTTGGCTTATGCAAGAATGGAAATGAAGTATTTGTATACTGCTGGCTCAAAGAGCCATAGCCATGCCTAGAAAAATTGGAGTTATTTTGTGGGTTTTAACTAGATTCTCTTTTAGGCAAGATTTTTTGGGCACTATGGACATTGTTACAAAATGGCTGCTATTGAGGCACGTTTCCTATTCACTAGATGACTGCCATGACCAAACTGGCTATTGAAAATGATATCCATTTATTAAAAGACAACCTGGTATGGTAGCCCTAGTATGTTCACTAGTATCCTAACTTTTGCCTCCCCCTCCCCCAACCTCCGAGGTAGATGTTTGCACTTCTGAACAAAGGTTTTGTTGTCTAGGGAATATCTGCACTGAATGTTACTAAAGAAGCTACTATTCTATCATTGTCAAGGTCCCAACTACAAAATAGCGATCTACAGTACAAGGAATTTTAAAAGAATTTCAACATTCAAAAGTATTTATGGTAAAGTTAAGTTTCGATTAAATTAATTAAAATAATGTCTTGTTAGGTCTATTGGCAGCATTTGATACCATCAGCTGCACTGGTTACCATTTGCATGTAGTCCCTGATATAAGAAGAGAGGCTCTTTTGAAAATGCATATACTGCCAGAGGGCTTCCTTCATTGTTCCCGGGCTAAAAAGGCCTTCCTCAGAAGTTGTGTTTGACCTACACTCACTCGGTGTTTGAGAAATCTAAAGAGACAGCTTTTTTGCCAGGTTTTTAATCGTTAATAAATTTTAGTATTAATTTTAGCATAATTTTACTCATGTTTTCAACTTGTTTGTTTGATTGTTTTTTTAATTTTGTTAGCTGCCTTAAGATTTAAGGCCAGATTTATATTAAAAAGTACTTTGAATTTTTTTGAGATTAATAATTATTTTTTTAAGTGGCATTATGGAAGCCATGTTGTTTACCCTTGTGCAGAGGCTGTCATTCAGCATGCTACAACTGGTCAGATTATTCTCATTATATGCTTGGACAGTTATGATTTTCTGGTATGTCTTTAACCAAAATAATATTTTGGGCTTTAAAATAACTGTAGGACAGTAAAGTATAATGGTAGGACAGTACAGCGTAATGGAAGGTAGCTTTGTTGGAAATCTTTGATGTGGAGTGTTATAGATGTCTTCATATAGTAAGATATTTGAAGTCTATGATTTAACCTGCAGTTGTCATGAATTCAGAAAGCATTAAAAACTGTATCTGTTTCCAATGATCTTATGTCTCTTTTAATATAATTCTAATTCTAAGAACTTAAATTCAGAAGAAGCACCACCAATCTATGAACCATTGAGCCACAGTTCCTTTGGTGCTTATAAGTATGTGATTTCTATCCACATTTGCCACTGCTGGCTGTGGAGCACTACACAACAATCTCTCTGTATGTCTCTAACTTATAAAAATAGAAAGGTACCTTCTATAAAAATCCTTTTTTCTGCTAACTAATAAGCATCTTAATTTCCACTATAAAATAACACTAGGCAAATTATAATGGATTTAAATAATTCATGTGGATAAAAAACTTGTATTTGACTTTAATTTATTCTGTTTTTGAAACAAATATAATGAACAAATAAAATAAAATGCATTAATGATACAAAGATGCCAAAACGATAAGCTGACTTAACATTTTTATAGTTATATCTGTTAGTTTTCTTTTCAAGTATTTTCAGTTGCTCCTTGTTCCCCTTGATAAATAGTAGTTTTATCCAAGTATCATTTTAGCAAATCTACAAGGAGGAGAAGGGTTACCATTCAATAACAATGTGAAATCAAGTGACACTTATTCATGTGTTGTATAAGCAAACTGTATCATAAAAAATAAAATAA